CAATAAAGAAAGTATTTATGCTAGGTCGTTTTAAATCTATTGTCAATGGATTCTGGGATACTTTACTTATTATTGTCTAAGTCAACAAGCAAGAAAATGGAAAAGAAAAAGGTAAAAATACATTGACAAATCTTGCAATCATTTGTGAAATCAATTGTTCAAATGCACATAACACCATCGCAGATGTTCAAATGTTAAAATCCATTGTATTATATTTTAAAATAAGCAACAAAATATTAGAAAATACGACTTTACTTGGGATATGATGGCAGAAAAAAAGGTATGAAAATAAAATGAAAAAGCTTATAAACAAAAAATGTACAACAATTGCCAACTCTAAAATGTTTTGAAACGTATTTGACTGTGTGTACGAGAAGAAAAATTGTAAATGCAAATATTTCATGAGAGATGCTTAAAATAGCTTATAAGTCTAATAAGTTTGATGGACTTTATGAACTTTTATCCAAAGTTGTTACTAAAAATAAGAAAATTATTCGTAAACTAAGTGATTATTTACATTTACAAAATGAGGATACTTAGAATATTAATCCGAATGTTACATTGAGTCAATAAAGTAGCTTCAAGATTGTTATTGTACTATATAAGATCAAGAATATTGAATTTAATTATTATAAGAATACATTTGTTGATGCAATAAAATCATATTTATTCAATTAAAATGTCGTGGTTTTTTTATGAATAATATTATTTATTCGTTAAAATTGTGGTACGATAAATAAAATTGCATATAATTCTATTTATAACTCAAAAATTACGAGCGTTTACGCTACTTTAAAGCGCCAAACGCCGAGCCGAACGCCGTATATATATATGTACGAGTATACAGTAAAGCACGTGGAGACGTTGCCAAATCACTACTTCGCTACCGCGTGTTGTAAATTTACAACACAAATTATTCAATAACTTTTCTTCCAGACTCTGAATGTCATTTCTGTGAAGGAATATTGATATAAAATAATTTTTTACATAAGTCATAATTTTTTGAGAATTTTTCATTTGTGGGTTTTTCTAAAAATGCCAAAAATGACATTTTCCCATAAGACTATATTTTATTTTCAATCTTTGATTTCTCGAATTCAAAGTTTTGAAGGGTTACGGAATTGAAACCATAGCTTTATAACATTTCAATAAAGTTATGGTCGAAGTTTCAAGCGATTCTCATTTGTAGATCACTTTCCGAGGTAGCACGCCGGTGATTGTACGTAAACAGGACGTTAAATTAGACTATACCTGGACTTTAGGCGAGTAAATTAGGTGACAAAGATAGGTGAATATCCGATGCCCAGCATAGTCGCTATTTTGAATAGGTTGTACGGAGCGGTATACCTGACGAAAATAAATTTGCGATTGACTGTTTGACAGATTCCGCTATCGAAAAATAGCAAATGGTATACCACATTTGCAGTTCTGGGCCTTGGTATATGGGAATTCGATCGAAAGTAGTTCGGTTTGGTAACTACGCCTGATACTTTTACACGCCTCATGGATGCGCTTTATGGTCCAGAGTATAAGCCGCAAGTTTATTGGTATTTGGACAATTTATTGATAGCTAGCCCGGATTTCGAGAGTCATGTGATTTTTTAAAATTTATTTTATTTCTGATGGGTCAGTATAAGTAACTCAACCACATTGTAAAATATAAAACTTTACTAAATCATTAAATATTTTGATTTTAATTTATTCTTTCGAATATAGTTATTACATTTTCAAACATTTTATAAATTATCATAACAAAATTATACCTTTACTTGTAAAACTCAATAATATTCAAATTTTTTTATCTAAACAGATCAATTTCCAGAAAGAGAACACATATCTCTCCTGATGATGTGAAGTTAAGGTGATTAAACAAGGTCATAAAATAATCTAGTTTAATTTTTTAATTGATATTTCGAAATAGCGTTTTTATATCGTAGCCTTGGAATGATTCTATTGATGCTTATGATGATGGTTCAAACATTCTGGCAAAGATCTCATCAATCATGATTTTAGAAGTCAGTAATATACATTTATCTATATTCATACGAAAAAAAACAAGGAAATTTTCGTAATGGATTTATATGTAGGTGATAAGTTAGTTGCTACCAGAGCTATACAACATTTAGAGAAGTGCTTACAATAATTGAGCCCAGAATTTAAGATTACTTCTCAAGATGCTTCATACTTTTTAGGATTAAAAATTGAACAGATCAACAAAGATGTATCGCAAGAATAATAACAATGTATTCCGAAAGCTATTGATGCGTTGAATCTGAATCCAACTTCAAAATTCCTCTATCATGCCAGATTTTTGAAATGTCCTAACCTAAAAATGAATAAAACACGGTTTTTGTCATGTTGGAGTTATACTGTATAGTTATACTATATCGCAAATTAATATTTTTTTAAACTGGGTCTATCTTTTAAAAGTATTTCTCTAACCGTTCAAAGCTATTTTTTAATTTTTTTAAAATCTTTTTTACTTTAGATATCGTTAATTGAAATTTAGTATGTTTTTTATTTCGTTACAACTTTGTAATGAATAAGCTTTTTCTAGAAAGTTGATAATGTAAACGGTTACGTTTTTTAGGTGGCGTAATACGAACTTCATAGCAGAATTCTACCATAACCTAGACTTTTTAAGATTTCCGAACTTAAAATTGCCTAAAAAATTATGTTTTTGTTATTTAAGAGTTTTACTCAATAGACACCAACATAATTACAAATGTACGCGGTGTTACCTACGAGGGCTAAACTCAGGACAGGTTAACCTAACTACGCTGCAGCCTAAGAAGTCTAAGTCCATAGTATTTATAGGTGTCTTATTTTGTCTTGTCATTAATCTTCGGATTTGTGAAATCTTTTCCTCTTCACATTTAGGCTTCTTGTTCCTAACATTCTTTTGTCCTCTACTTTATTATCTTCACGTTCAACCAATTCAAGCACTATTCAACCAATGTATTAACATTTCATGAACCTTGATATCTTCTTTCCATCTCCTGGATGTCTTCGTGAAATCTTTCTCCTTGTTTTTAGCTTAGATTTCTAAGGTTTTCAGGAAAAGTATCAAAATGTGAGTTTAGAAAATGTATCTTTAAACTCATGTAACAACCTAACTTTTCGAAAATATTCTCTTAACGATTATTTCATAATTTGTCACTTTCGTATTGCCCAAAAACTCTTTTACAACCGCTTTGAAACTGATCCGTACAGTTCATTTTATTTTCGTCATTGTAGATTCAAAATCTTCCGATTCATTAGCTTTCTTATATATCTTGGCTTGTGAAGATTCCTTCTTTTATCTTTGCTTCAAGTAATTTCGAAAATATATCCAAAAAATACTTAACCCTTAACTGCTATGTGGGGTAGAGTTACCCCAGACAATTTTTAACAATAAATAAAATTTATTTATTTTTTTTTTCAACAATTTTTTTCAGTGTGTGTTACATTAAAAATTATTAACCTGAATATTTTTTTTGTAGTAAAAGGTTTGATATATACTAGAACAAATTTTCATAGCAAAATATTTAAAATTCTCTGATTTATTCGATGTTTTTCGGGCTGGGGTAGATTTACCCCACCGAGCAGTTACGTGGCCAAAATGAGGTGTACAAGTTAAGGGTTAAAGCATTTTCCATTCTGATCTAGTGCTTTGAGAAATTACTTTATCAGTACTAATTTTATGTGAAAAAAAATTAAAAATATCTTTTCTGGATCACAGAACAATTTCTTGAGAACACTGAATGACCCTGGATCAAGAGATTTGCGCAATGACTAATCTGATTTTTTCCAACCATCTTCAGTAGCTCTACTATCCTACAAACAAATGCAATAAGGAAATTTTATGTACGCTGATTACTATTCAAGGATTGTAGTTAATATCTTGAAATCACCATAAATAAATCATTTATACTCGTATTCTTAATATCTGATTGTTTCAAGAACTTATTGTATGTTTTCATAAAGTTATTTTAGTTGCATTGAATGAGCAACTGAGATTGAAGCATGTCAGTTTCCATTGTAAAAGAGAAAAAGCCATTCCATTGTAAAATTCCATTGTAAAAGCCTTCACACTCCTTTTAAAAGAATCGATGAGCTAGGACATTCATCTCTTTAAACCTAAAATCTACTAGTTTAGCTTTATTTTTAAGCAGATTTAAAGTTTTAATCGAATTGCTCAAGAGATCTTACATGAATTATGAAATGAAAAGACTTTTCTAGCCGTAAAAATGGATCTGACGACATAATTCTAACAGATTTCAGTGACTGGCAAAAAATCCCACTGGATGCAACAAAATAATCTCCTTTGACAGTGTACAGAACGATGTGACGAACAAATGACATTACTTAATAGATAGATGCTGTCTGAAACGAAGGACTATCTATGCTATTCATATAATTGTAATTGAAACTTCAAGAACTATATGAATGTGGAACGCTGCAGAGGTACCTGTACGCATTAATTTTCGTTCTCTATAGTCATGAATATGCAGACTTACCTCTCCCATCATTTTTTCAAAATGGTGTAGGAAGATAAAGTTTTACATGAATCATGACTAGATCTATAGTTTAAGGTGGAAACCGAACCACCGGAATTACGTTAATAAACACGTAAAAATTTCATTTCTGAAAATCCTCACATGTCTGGGGCTCGAATCCACGACTTCTAGTACAGAAACCTGGGTTCTAACCCACTGGGTTCTGATCCTTTAATAAGTATTACATAGGACGAACATGATTAGTTTTTTTGTAATCTCTCAACAAAAATTGTTTTCTTGATAAATTTATCTGTTTATAAATATATTTGTCACACACCTGATTACTTCTCAATATTAAAATTCTAGATTACGATTTCTTTTGTATTTTTATAGTCCCGTAAGTACAATACGCAATACCTATGATACGTGAGATACGTGAATTTCATGTTTTAAATCAATGATGTTATTTGTAGCATTGTCAGTGTCCTATACTATATAAGTTAGCAGAAGTTTTTTACTTACACTTTTAGGATTTGAATGTGAACAGAGTGGTAAAAATGCTATCATTTCTTGATATGAGAATTCATCTTTTTCGGTACATTGAATTACGCCATCAAGTACTAACATTCTTCCATAAAATTTTCTGAAATTAAAAATTGTAATTGTTTATATGAAATATATTTACATAAAGTTTAATTTTTTAGTAAATATGTATGACGGTGAGTAAATATTTGAAAAAATTTTAAAATTTACAAATAATTTTAGCGATATTTGCAAGATCTTGAATTTCATATCCACAATCATAAGTAGTATGATAACATATATTTATTTTTTCAAGGGAGGCTTTTAAATTGTAATGGTTAGACCTACAGCGATATATAGTTGCAATAACTCTACATGCTAGATTAAGATTGAAGAACCAACATTTGGATCTATTATTATGAAATTGATTGAAAAAGGGCGTACCCTTGTATATATCTTCCTCCTGGATAATATATTTACTATTAATGATCGAATTTCTTTTAAGATGCATCTTTAAGTTGGTGAAAGGGATTTTACGATCACGATTAACAGGAATATCGGTAGTATGTTTAGCGATCGATATTTTCATTTCTCTGTATACCCAAGTAAACTGATATCCCAATGAGTTGAAGTTTACTACTGCCAAAACTTTTAATCTGAAAATTAAATATATTTTTCTTTAGTTGAAAAATGTAAGAATTTATTTTTATACTAGGATATATATGTTGAAGAGATAATAACGCACTCAAGGAATAAGTGAAATTGTCTACATTTTAGTTAGGATAGTTAAGAACGATTTTGACAACTTCGTTGATTACCATGCATTCTACTGTGAAAATGGATGCTTTACTATAAAGACTTTGTGTTCATCTAACATTATGTCACTCATACAACACTGCTGAGCTCACCAACCTTCGTCTATCTTACTTCCGTCTGTGAAGATTGCATTAGTTTTGTCTTTAATTAAGCGTAGATTAACTAGTGATTTAGGATTAGCAGCCTTCTTAAGTGAAGTGTCAAATTTTATATTGATGACTATAAAGTTAAATAAAATTTCATGTTCACAGAGATAAATATTATATCGACTATTAGTATAAATGAGATGATCAACGAAATTTAAGTTTTTGATATATTGGACAAGTAGCCTCTGGCTATTTTTAGGTTTACTATATTTGTTATGAGTTTTATTATGAATGCGGTGTACGTTATGGTGGGCTAGTAAGCTGAAGCTAGAAATGACTTCATTGATATAGTTATTACACAAGAAAATAGATTTCTCTTCAATGAACGGAAGCTTGAATACAAACAGTAGAATATTGGTGCGAGTGCTATTACGACAGCTTAAAGCGAGCCTTATGGCTGCGTAGTGAATTTTTTCAAGCTCTTCAGATTACGTTATTATGCTGGAATAGTAAACAAAGCAACCATAATCAATAATTGAGTGCACATAGCTTTTGTACAAAATAAGTAAGTTTTCAAGACTCGATCTCCAGGAAACGCCTCACAGAAATTTGACTATATTATTAGCTTTGAGTGAGTCTTGCTTATGCCTTGAGTCAAAACTTATACCGAAAAATCTCGCAGATTTGCTAAATAATATATTTTTAACGGTGGTGGGAGAATCTCCGGGTTTGACATCTGTTTGGTCAAAGAGTAAAAATATTGTTTTAAGTGATGCAAGAACTAATCCAATTTCTTATAGGTTGTAGTTGATAATGTCGATGGCTTTTTCTAAGAGTCTTTTACACGATGAAATCAGGCGTCTTTTATAATATCTTGCAATGTCATCAATGAATAATAAATTGATTTAATTTTTACATAACATAAATTATGTTTAATTTTAATGAGAATTCGTGAAAAAAAGTCAAGTTAAATAAATATGAATGTAGCATAATAAGTAAATACAAAAATTAATAGAAACATTTTGATATTATGAATAACAATAATAATATGAATATAAATTATTCATAAATACGTTATAATATAATCATACAATTATACACGTAATTCTTGTATATTGTGAAATTAGTCACGTACTTAAAAGATGCACTCTCGCGTGAGTTTGAGGGCGAGGCAGAAGTTGGCGAATTTCAGACGATCAAGGACTCTTGATACCTGTCAAGGCGCCAAGAAGTTCGAGACCAGCTGAAGAAATATCCTAATTGGAAGGTAGAGGACAATTGTTTATATCGGTATATGAAAGATCATCGGCTCGATCCAGTCACGAACTGCGAAAAGTGCTGCCGGTTGATTGTTCCGCTCGAATATAGAGAGTGAGTTCTACAAGATGCCTATTGTGCACCGTCGGCAGGACAAGTTGATCGGATATTAAGAGAGTATTTTTGGCCGGGCGTGCGATATGACGTGCAGAATATTGTTAGTCAGTGTTAGGTTTGCTAGAAGTATCAAATCGAGCAGAAAGCACTGATAAGGTTGATTGGAAAATGCGTGGTTAAGCGTCCCTGGACAATGGACATAGTGGAGTTACCGCGAAGCAAAAATCGATTTAGACACATGGTAGTGTTCCAGGACCTCTTTACAAAATGGATGAAGTTCAAACCATTGAGCTCCACGGACGGGAAATTGCTCGCAAGCGCTTTCGAGGAAATGATCCTGTTTCCATGGAAAACGCCTGAATAGCTGGTTAGTGATAACGCGAAAGCTTATCAATGTAAGGCGTTTCAGGATACACTTCGGGTGTATGGCATTGAGCACGTATTCTGCCCCCTTACCATCAATAGAGCCACCCAGCAGAGAGGGTTGGGTTAATTAGACTCTGAAAACGATGATTGCTATGTTCATGGACAACGACCATCGGGGCTGGGACCGCTAGCTTCGTAAATTCAGGTACGTGATTAACACCGCGAGCCAGACCTCTATGAGGTTTTCCTTGGCGTCTTTGACTTTCGGCCGAAATTTCCGGCCGGTAAAAAGTTTAAGGAGGGAAGTAGAGCAACGTTTTCCCGTAATAAAAATCAAAACGCAGATTGTACAGAACCGACTGCAAAGGCTGAATGTGTTGCGGGACTTGGTAGGCCGTCACATCGAACTAATATATGAAAAGCAGAAAACGGAATACGATAAGAGGCGAAGACATGTAGTATTCGACGTGGGCGATTTAGTCTGGTGGAGGATGTACTCGTTGTTGAACGTGGACGCAGGTAGAAATGCGAAACTCAATCCAAAGTACCCGGGCCCATACAAAGTAATTCGAAAAGTCTTGAACGTGGTATACGAATTGGAGACTGATAATAATTATCAGGTACCAATGCTTCACGTTCAAAGCGTTATATTCCATTGCACGGTTTGGGCAATGATTCGAAGTAGGGCCAGTTCGAAGTAGGGCTGAATGAGCTTTACCGTTTTTAATTAATGGACTTGTGAACGAAGCGTCATTTTTGTTTGTTTCTTTTTCTAAGATTTCTTATTTTATTGACAATAATATTGATGGGAGTTGAAAGTTACAGATGGAGGAGGAAATTGTGGAGTTGGCAGCTCTAACTGACGAGATAGGCGTCATTAGTAAGCCCCCGCTGAATCCGGACAGATCCACAGCACCAAAATCCATGAACATGAAAGCAAGCGTGGTGGGACCCTCTGCATCATGGGCTCAACCTAAGCAATCGCTTGCCGGTATCACGGAGGCTGACTGTGAGAGAGCACTGTCAGAGCGGTGCGACGTAGTACGCCTGGAGCAGCGATCCCTCCACGGACTCAGGAAACGCGGAATACTCGGGTGTTTAGGAAAACTTTGGCCATGGTCGCGGAGCTCTTGACTTACCGTGTCATTAGTATGGGCCCAAAATTTCTCGGGAAGAAGACAAATATTGAGGAAAGGGAAGTAGCCGGTCTGGTGATGGACAGTGACGCGGCGGAAATGGAGTTGGAGGTACTCCTGCTGCGGAGCCCACCAGACCAGCCGCAGAAACTGCGTTGCAGAGGATGGATCCTCGGGGGATGCGCCCCCGTTAAATATCCCGCGTGCCGGTTAGCTCAAGAACGAACGTCTGAGGACCACCGAAGGACAGCGGGGCATTAGCAAGAAGAGGAAAAGGAAAAACAGGGGCCCTGATCTTGCCGATAGTAATTGGGTCTCGCCCCTAAGCGATGCGGACGGAACCGAGCGTGAGCGATGGGCGGCTAGCGGGACTGAAGTCAGTAATCTTCGCCGAAAAGCGAGAGTTTTGCTCAGCGAATCATTCAGTTATGGAAACGTTCACGCTTCCCAAATTCCCTTTTTTAAATTGTACGGATAGTCGCGAGCTACTCAAAACGGGAACGCTCGCCATTTTTCTCTGTTACAAGTATCATTAAAAAATTATATTAAATAATAACTAAGAAAAAAAATCACTGATAATAAGAAATAGTATTGGCAGCTAAACTTTGCTAGTCTCTGTTAAAACATCATATAAAAGGTCATATAACAAAAGCAGTAAATAAACTGAAACTGTTATGGATGAAATACTTCAATGGTAACAATAGCGCTTTTAAAAATGCTTGTAGTCTTTTCAAGTCCCATATAACAGTGGTCTATGTATCAATGTAAAAAAATAATATATGTACATTATTGATAAAACTATTCGGTTAAAATACATACGTTTGAAAAACTTGAATATGTTGATATCTTGAAACTTCATCGAATAATATTTGCTCAATTTGTATCGATTGTGAAATACCAGGCCATAAATCATTAACTTCACTGAACCAGCCTTTACTGAACTTATTCATATTCGTAATTATAATATCAAATCTGCAAAATAGAAAAAATGATTTATTATAATTTCTCATTAATAACCTCGTAGCAGCTATGCATTACAAGAGATTCATATAAATCTTATGACTGATAAATTAAGTCTATAGCGACTGTAAATTAATTATTTGAGGATAATTTTTTAAATAATTTAATGTTAATGGTCTCCGCGCTAATCTCTGATTGAGTAATTAATTAGTTCCTCGATGAAAGGCGTATCGTTGCCTAGATCTACAATGTGAAGATAATTCTGACTGGTATTAAGGCCGTTATATTCGTGCATCTGAATGTATGCCTAATATTATGATACGATTTGTTGATTAGGTGAGTTCGATTGCGGATGAAGAAATGGTTAGTTATGTAAAATTTTTAAGAAATACAAAGCGGTTGGTCATGGAAATGATTTCTCAAAAAATAACAATAGGTAAATTGTACGTTATTCGGCCGTCGCGCGTCGCGCGTCGCGAATCAGCTCGTAAGAACTTTAACAAATTTTAATGCTATTGAGTAGTCGTCGTGCGTCGCGAATCCGCTGCCGAAAAGTCGAGTCTCTGTTTTTATATTGACCCTTCGGCCCGTATTAATGTGTTGAGTAATCAGAAAATCAAAATGTCGGGCACTCCAAATTTTCGGACTACTTATCTTTTAATTTTGCTGAGTTTGTATTTCGTAAAAATGCCGTTCGTCGTTTATACAATATTTCGTTTTCAATCGATTGCTGATGAAATCAAAATGAAGAAATATTTACGTCTCAGGACGTAACACCTCCGTGGCTAGATCGTTGTATATCGGTGTGATATTAACGCAAAACAAACAGAATAAATAAATAAATGTACATTACTCTTGGTTATTCGGCAATCAATTCAATACGCTTTAATTTTGCCTTAATAGTACTTTTAATGCTACGCGAACAATAATACTCCGTATCGTGGTATAGTAGAGCTTCATTTCAGGATTCGATATGTATATATATATAACAGATTTGTGTTTTTAACTAATGTGATTCTAATGTGAAAATTGGAATATGTTGCTTCTTTCAGGTGGAAATTTCTTTAGGAGTAGGGACGGGGGGTGTGGTGTTTGAGGTCTGATTCGTGAATGGGGTTATTGCTTGTGGGTTCTCGTTTTTTTGTTTGTCTATTACTATTTCATCCAATGCATATTTTTCATCTTTTGATGGAGTTTGGTTTCTCTGTTTGAGCAGTGGTTTGTTTAGTGCCACCAGTAATTGTGTTATTGAACTAAATATGGCTCCTAGCAAATATGCAGAAATTCTATATATAGAGTGTAGAGTGTAGCCTCTGATTATTACATTGATTAAACTTTTACCGCATTGAAATATAATGGCGGTCATTATGATGACAGAACTTATAGAACCAAATTTAGTTAGTTTGGTGATGAACTTGTTCCATGTGCTTCCAGCGATGTTGGTTAGTGTTTGTTCTGTCAGTATTAGGTTTGATACTAATCCTCCCTCTACACTTTCGTCGCCTCGCATACTTCTCGCGATTACGTTGAGGAGTGATGCTTTCTCCATGGGAAAGAGGATGTGATTTTGTAGTTTTTGTAGGTCTTCTTGGGAATAGATCCCACTCGTCACCAATGATTCTAGTTCCGTCGGTTTCCATGTTATTTTGGTGGTCGGTTTCAAGGTCAGAACTGCGTTGGTTGTTCTTCTCGGTGTTGGTGTCAAATTTATCCATTCGTTTCCTATTTTGTAGTATTGGGGAATGATTGTGTTACAGTTTATTTCTGTTCCTGTTTTCATTAAGTTGTGTGTTTTTGGCGTGAGGTAAAATGTTTCGTTTCTTGAAATGACTGGAAGTTGCGAGAAACATTTGTCTGTATGAAGTAGTTGAACTTCTGTAGGAGTACATTGTATAATATGTACGGCTTCCCCTGCCAGGCGAGCTATGTACCCGGGCTTCTCCATGATGTTGTACGCAAATTCATCTGGTGAGAGATATGCCAGGGATAAGGAGTTATATAGGACTTTCCTTTCTAATTCACATTTTTATTGCAATATATCTATATAGAGGCTTTTTATTTCGACCCTGAAATGTTTCTCTACATACACAAATTTGCTATTGAAATACGTGAATAGATCATAGCTAAGTATCCCTTGCTTCGTTTGAATATCATTGTCGTACAAAATATTGAATTGGGTTCGTTCATACATAAAAAGTTTTGGATGTTCAGTTGTGATTAAGATTCTGTTGCAAAAACTCATGTTCCCTCTAGTTGACAATGCAAAGGATACTTCGTTCGTACTTATGCTAAAAATCGTTTCATGATCGGGTGATGCTTATTTTAGTGACCGTTCCTCTATACAGTATATCGTATTGATTCTCGAAACAGTCCTCGTGCGGTAGTAATGACCAAAAGGTGTAACCCCCTTTCATATCGATACAATGTTGGTCCGAAAACTTACATACTGTACCCGAATTTAATCTTAATCTATCATTGTTTAATTCGACTGCTGCATAGCTTTCTACCAAGGTTATTTTTATAAGTCCCTGTACGAGAACATCGCTCCACGTACCAAATCGGTCGGCGTAGGCTGCCCCTGAACAAGTTTTTCCCTTAACGTTTCCTGCTAGATCTAAACCTACACTTTTTGTCGAGTTAATCCTTAGGTCGGCTATTGTGTGTGCGTTATCATATTTAAAAATACCCGTATCATGTATAGCTTTACAGTTGTCGTGTGATATTTCGTAAATGTATTCTTGGATTGCATTTTCGGTTGGGCCTAAATGACTAAACATACCGCAATGAAAAATTGTTCGCCTTATTTCTATTTTACATTGTATGATTTTTATTGATTTGAATTCCGTTTTTTGTAATAGTTCGATAGGGGCTTGCGTGCTATTTACTTGAATTTCTTAAAAGTTGCATTCCCCTGCATCCAAGAGTGAATATGTTGTAATGGTAGGGTTCGTTGAGCCGCAATTGAAGCCAATAAGTCCTTTGCTTGTTGAAAAGGAGGTGATTATGATTAAGATAGTCATTGATTTTTGCGCCATTGTGTTTCCTGGAAATAGAATAAGATAACTATGCTTGTTTTGCTACGGTTAATTTATTGGCATGAATTGTTTTTGGTTTTCCATTGTAATCGATTACAATACTGCCTTTTTCAGTTATTTTTAATACTTCAAAAGGTCCTAAATATTTATTTTTCTCTAATTTCCCCGGTCTTGGTTCTTTCATGAACCATACTTTATCTCCAATTTTAAAATTTACTGGATTTTTAAATCGGTCATAATAATTTTTTGATTTTTGACTTGAGGTTATTAGATTTTCTCTAGCCATGTGTGATATTATATTCATGTTTTTTATTAAATTCTCTAGGTATCCATTAAAAGTTGGTAATTGTTCGGATTTTTTTAATGGTACACTAGATGGTAGTTTAGCTGGAAAAACAAAAACCAATACATGTGGTGTGAAATTGTGACTAGTGTGTACGCTGTTGTGGTAGTTGAATTGGGCCAACTCCAGGAGTTCGTCCCAATCACATTTTTTTGATGCAAAATTGTTTGATGTATTCGCAAAGCGGATGGTTAGCCCTTTCGACAGATCCATTAGATTGAGGTGAAAACGACGTTGTTTCAATTTTTTCAAAATGAAATCTTTTGGCAATTTGCTTTAACATTTTGCTTCTGAAGTTTTGTGCTCTGTCCGTTAGTACTATTTTTGGAGTTCCGAAAGTACAAATAAACCTTTTTATAAAAGCTTCGCTTACAGCTTCCGCTGTTCGGTCTTTTAATGCTACTAATGTGATAAATTTTGAAAGTTGGTCTTGAATTGAAAGTATGTACCAATTATTACTTTTTGTAATATCAAATGGCCCCATTATATCCATGGCAACTTTATCAAAAGTTTTGTAAGGTGTATCTATTATAATCATTGGTTGTCGTGTAGGTTTACGTTTTAATTTGTTTCTTTGACATTCTATACACATGGAAATTCTTTTTTGTATGTCGTTCTTTAGGTTTTCCCAACAATATTTAACTTTAATTCTATTGTAAGTTCGATTCACTCCCGAATGACCTCTTAATCTCGAAGAATGATATATTTCAAAAATTTTATTTCTCTGGTCTAACTCATATATATATTCAACATGATTCATACAAACAATAGTCTTGATGTTAGTTCCTATGAAAGTATCATTTAGAGGTTTGTGGTCCGTTACTACCGTAAATTTATTTCCGAATAAGTATGTTCTAAATGTTTTAATAGCGAAAATTATTGCAATAGCCTCTCTTTCATAAGTCATATAATTCTGTTCTGTTTTGTTCAAAACCCTTGAAGCGTATGCGATGGATCTATCGTACCCTAATTCTCCCTGGGAAAGGACCGCGCCAAAACTATGATTCGATGCGTCTGTTCTAACGATGTAAGGTTTGTTAAATTGTGGATATTGTAGGATAGGTGCTTCGCATAGTAGTTTTTTTAATTTATTTAAAGCTTCCTGTTGTTCATTGTTCCAGAAAAATTTTGTGTTTTTATGTAAGAGTATAGTTAATGGTTTTGTTACTTCTGCAAAATTTGGAATAAAACGTCTATAATAGTTGCATAGCCCTAAGAACTCTCTAACGTTTTTCGTAATTGTCGGTGTTGGAAAAGCTTCAACAGCTTGTACTTTTTTTTTATCTGGTTTAATCCCATATTCACTGATAATATGTCCCAAAAAGGATACTTCTGTTTTGAGACAATCACATTTTTGAGGTTCAAATTTTAGGTTAGCTTCTCTTAGTTTTTGAGCTATTTCAGAAAAACGTTTATTGACCTCATCCACTGTTTCTCCAAAGATAATTATATCGTCAATAAAAACAAAGTATGTATTGGCGATTAAGTCCCCCAAAATTGTATTAAAAATTCTTTGAAATGTTCTAGACGAGTTTACTAATCCGAATGGTAAAACAAGAAATTCAAATCTTCCTAATGGATGTATGCTATACGTTGTTTTGAAAATATCTTTCGGGTGCATTGCTACCTGATGG